ATTCAGGGTGGCCCGTTTCTCCTTCCTTCCCTCCCCCCGCCGTCACTTTCCACACCGTCTTCTTCAGTGCGCCCGACGGGGAGAAATTGACGCTGACACTGTACGTCTCTTCCCCCTCGCTCCCTCCTCTTCCCCCCCCGGAGTCCCGCCATTGCCGCACCTGCTCCTGGATCTCCTCCACGAAGGCGTCCTCCCCGGCCCGGCTCGCCCTGTGCGAAGAATAGAGGAACCTCTTCGCCCCTGCGGCCTGGCACCTGCCACTGGAAAAAGTAACGAGCACCCGGCGTGCCGGTGCGTCTTGGCGCGACGCATGCCCCTGGGCCAAGGCTGGGCTCGCAGTAAGGGCCGCCGGGGAAGGCACTGTGGGGTCTCTGAGGTGGAAGCAGGGCGAGGAGGAGGGAAGGCGTGGAACGGCGGCCTGCCCCGCTTCCTGCACGGTGCCCCACACACTCGGTCCCGGCCCGGGAAAGGGTGCCGCTACACAGGTCTGTGGCGATAGTCGTGCTTCTTCTTCTACTAATGGTTGTGGCGGTTGTCTTTGTTGTCGTTGCAATTGTTGTCGTTGTTGCTGTCGTTTCTCCAAGAAGGCAAGTGCCTCTCTGCTCCGGCCTCGGGCTATCAAGGTCTCCATCGGCGTGGTGATCCGTTTCAGGACATGGATGAGCTCGACTCTATGAAAAAGATGGAAAAGAATGCCGGGACGACAAAGCAATGAAGTGAGATAAAGATGACGTTGAGCTTCCCCCAGGACAGGCATAGGAAATAGGGCCAGCTACGGTGGTAGGAGGTTAAAAGGCTAAAAATGAGGCACAGAGCTACCTTACACCCCAACAAAACACCACCTTGGCCCGCTATACCTCGGTACTCCAATTTTGTTCCAATCAAGTGGCCCATCCCCCATGAACGTCTAAGCCCCTGGTTCCACTTACTCTTGATGGGAGTTCAGGCCAAGAGAGTCGAAGAGACGAAGGAACAGCGGGTCGTCCAGGTCATGGTCCAGTATCCGCAAGAAAGACATTGTCCTACCTGGCCATGTGGCTGAGATAGTACGTGGCTGTGGGTGAAGGCACGTCGATTTGTGTGACCGAAACCTGAGAGTATCGATCGAGTCGAGCGCTCGCTCCTGCTAGTACTGCTTCTTGAAGCGGGGTGGCGAGCCCTGTAGATGCACGGAGTCCTTCTCTTGAACACGGTGCGGCAACATGTTGAGGAAACGCGCACGAACAGGTCAACCCCCACGTACTTTGCGTCGTGGAGCCCGCGTGCTTTGCGTTATGGACCGGTGCGTACTCATTCGGTGATGTGTTCAAAGAGGCAAGGAAGCAGGCTCGGGGCTTCTAGCTATTCCCGCCGCGATCTCGATCCTGGTGGAAGCAACGACATTTTCAGCATTTGGCCGTCACAATCCCAGGGAATGTGTGATGTGATTGTAATTATGCGCCAAAGGAGTATGTTTTTTCGACGGAGGCGGCTTACAACATGATGCCAGGGTGGAGACCGGTCTTAATTGCTTCTCCCCGTGTGCTCTACCTACATCACCAGGGGGGCATGAAAGACACCGTGCGCATTCTCCTCCTTGGAGACCGAGGGGCAGGAAAGTCCTCCCTCATTTCCACCTTCGTCTCGCAATGCTTTCCGGAGAAGGTCAGTCGGTACGGGAGGAA